ATTTAAAGGCGAACTTCCTAAATTATGTCAAAAATTAGAATTTCCTAAATTAAGAGATATTGAAATTCTATATTTAAAAGAATATTGCAATATAATGCGATTGACAAAATACAGAGTGAAATCAGCTGCTATTATGGAGAATCAGCTCCAATTTTGAATGTCGTTAAAAAAAAATTACTAATTTAACCATTCTACAATTTTGCAAACCATTAGCTATTGCCATAGAAAATTATTTAAATAAAAGATTTAAAAATATATATGATTTTGATAAAAATTTTAATAGTGCATTTTTGGCAACTATTTCTCATCCCTATTTTAAAAATCGTTGGATTGATGGTGAAAAAGAAAAAAAATACCTTCAGGATTTGTTATTAAATGAAGTTTTATTGTTTTTAAAAATAATATTGAAATTAATACTTCAACAAAATCTTCAATTGATGAAGATGATGATTACTTTTGTCTTAAAAGTACCACATCCAATTATAATAATTCAATAAATGATATTGAAATAGAGGTCCTAAGTTATATGAAAGATGACAGGCGGAGTATAAATATGTTAAATAGTTATAAATATATAAAAGATATTTATTAAATATAACACAATATTACCCTCCTCAGCCCCCGTTGAAAGATTATTTAGCTTTGCTAATATGGTTAATAGACCAAATCGTCAAAGATTGGACGATAAATCATTTGAAAAATTAATAATATTAAAAAATAATGCTGATTTATGATGCTGATTTATTATTATTTACTAATTATATAATTATTAAATGGAATATCGCATTATCTTTTATAATAAATTTGTTATTTTCTACAATTTATTTTAAATATTTTTTTATAAATTTATATTATAAATAAGAAAATAAAGCTTTATACATTTTGATTTTGACTATTTAAAGTTTTTTAAAAAAGTACCTTGTATCTTAGATACTTTTTTTTAAAAAAAATACAAGTATCTTGTATCTTATATCTTATTGAAATTTTTCTAAAGTATCTAGTATCTTGTATCTTTAATACAAAATTTTATAAAGTATCTGTATCTGTATCCGAATACAATTTTCTGAAAATTTGCCCAACCCTGACCAGTTGCATTATAAATATGTATATAATATTTTTATTTTTGACCTTTCTGGTGGTAAGCTCCTTCAATATATCTCTCCACTTTATGTTATTCATGCTACCTCATTTATCTAATTTGTACTTCTTCGTATTGGTTCTAACTTTATGACCCATTGAAGTTTCGGCCTCCCTCTATTACGTTTGCCCATCACTTCCGAATTCTCAACCTTATTTCCTATATAGTTCATAGGCCTTCTCATTGAGTGCCCATACCACCTAATTGTGTTCACCATTATCTTAGTCTTAATAAGCGCTACCTTTAACATTTATTGATATTCCAGCATTCACACTCAGCATTCTCATCTCCATTGTTTGTAGATTTCTCTCGTCTGATTCTTTGGTTGGCCATGTTTCCGAACTATATAGAATAGTTGGTTGTACAATGGAACTGTAAATTTTTCCCTTTAATTTGTGTGGGATTCTTTTGTCAAAGAGTACTCCAGAAAAGATCTCCACTTTAACCACATTTGATTAATTTTACTCTCTATCTCTTTCTCTATTGTGCCGTTTGTTTGTATAGTGGAGCCCAAATATTTGCAGCTTTCAATTGCCGATATCTGCCATTTGTTAATATCAATGCTCTCTGTTTTATCTCCTTCTATCACCATATACTCCGTCTTTCCTCTATTTACTTTTAGTCCGTGCTTTTCTATAATATTTATCAGCTCAATAATCTTTCTTTCATTTCATCCTTGGATTCGGCAAGTATCACAATATCATCTGCAAATATCATATTCCATGGGACTGTTTGAGGTATAGACTGTGATAATACATCTATTACTGTTATGAAGAGAAGTGGGCTGATAGTCCACCCTTGATGAACTCCCTCGGCTATTGTGAAGCCTGTTGAAGTACCAGTTGTGCTACGGACCATATGGCCCATATACATATCCTGTATTATTCTTATATATTTTTCGGGAACCTTTTTGTGGCGTAGCGTCCACCAGATACGTTTTCTTGGGATACTATTGAAGGCCTTTTCTAGCTCGAGAAAGACCATGTATAGCTTTTTGTTTTTTTCCTTGTATTTTTCACTCATTTGCCTAATTGCGTGGATAACATCAGTTGTTGATCTTCCAGGCATAAAGCCAAACTGAGTCTCTCCTATTTCGATTATGTCTTTTAACCTTTTTTCTATTATTTTTTCGTAGAGTTTAAGACAGTGTGACATTAGTTTTATGTCCCTGTAATTTTGACCATTGTGTGGATCCCCTTTATTTTTTGAAGATAGGAACTAGATAGCTCTGCCTCCATTTTTAAGGGATCTCTTCGTTTCCCATTATTTTATTGGACATTGTGAGTAAATGTATTCCATCATCTCATAGTGCTTTAAGGCTTTCTATTGGAATATCATCAGGACCCCTAACTTTTTTGTTTTTCATATGCTTGAGGCATGTGATTATTTATTATTCCCTTATTGGTTGAATGAGGTTCTTACATTTTTGAAGTAGTATCCATTTTCTATAGTAACAAAATCTCTATTATTATAGAAAAAAGTTTCAAAAAAAGCAAAAAGTTGTGTTATTTTAAATTTGCGCATTATAAAACGTAAATGAATTTAAACGAATACAATTGAAATGCACTAGTGGCGTTTGCAACGCAACGTTTGAAACGTTCTATTTATGCGTACTATAAGCGTCGAGATTTCACCAATAGATGTTCAATCCTATGTTTCATCTATGAGCAAATCTTTAGGCTTGCATAATATTTTTCTGGATAAAATGTTGAGTTAGACATTTTTAAATATATACTTTTCTCTATAATATTTTTTTTTTATAACTAAGTTGTGTAAAATATTTTTTAAATATTTATTAAGATATCTTATTTTTAATGTAGTTATTATAATCAACTAAATTTTTAAAAGATATTCAATTCCAATCTAAATAATTGTAAGACCAATTTTTTATAAAATTATTGTTGATTAGTGTTGTTAAAGTTACTTTTGAAACATAACTAGTTACAGTTACTAGTTATTGATATAAATATAACTATTTACAGTTACTAGTTACATTTTTATAAATGCAACTAGTTATTAGTTACAGTTACATTATGAGTTACTTTCTGATTCTTATAAATTATAAAATGGTCTATTAATTCAAAATAGATTTTAGGTTATGTATTAAGAATTAATGATTTTTTCACTCAAATATTTGCAAATATGATATTTATATATACAGTTGTTACAAATATTTATTTTAAACTTATTGCAAATATATTTTTTTAATTTCAAATAGAACTGTCTAATATTGGAGTTTTTTTGTCAAGAAAATTGTGATGACAAGAATATTAGGGGAAGGGTATTAGATAATTTATTTTTTATTTAATTATATATGCATGCATCCTATTGTATAATTTGGAAAACATTTTAGATCATAGAATTTACCACTATTTTGGAAGGCAAATAATCCTGAACAAGAAGACCATAACAAAAATAACCTAGAAAATTACCCAATTTTCAAATAAATTAAATTAGCCTATAGGATGTAGGTTATTTGATTAATCTTTTGTTGAAGGAAATGATATTTGATATCTGCATTATAATATTTTGTTTTTCTTTCATAGTCTTTGCCTTTTCTTATTAGTAAGTAGATGACTAATTTAGCAATTTATACAAAAATTATTTAACTCCAAAATAATCTAAATCTTTTTATTTCCTCATACTAAGTTTTATGCTCTAATTTAGTAAAATTTAAAAAAAATACATTTATATCTTATGAAATAGAGTATAAATATTGCCAGCAACTTGAGGGCAAAAAATATGGAAAATATTGTGCTAAATTTGCAAGGAAATATAATATTAAAAAAAGGTTTATTAATTGAATTTGGTTACAAAATTATAAAACCCAGCAATAATTTGAGAAAAAAAAATCTATTTGAACATATCCTTTCCGTACACAATCAGACATTAAAACAAAATTTTAATTTAAAATTAATTTAGCACAAAGCAGTCTCAGACACCTTTGGATCATTTGGACCCCAAGCCCTAAAATTATTCAAAATAATAGGGCAAAGGTTACGTTTAATCACAGGTGATCCAAAAGAAGGCTTCTAACTATGGCAAAGAATATCAATAAATTTGTCGATCCAACTGTATATCTATACATTGGTCATTAAGCCCCGCCGACCAAACATAAATTATTTTATTTTTTTAATCTTCTTTTAATTATATATTTTTATAAAGTTATAGTATATTATTTATAATTTTAATATTCTTTTAATAAATGATTAACTCACATATTAAAAATAAAATTAATTATTTGAATATATTATTTAGATTTATACATACATATTTTTAGATGTAACTAGTTACTTTTTTGGCAGTTACATTTCAAAAAATATAACTAGTTACAGTTACTAGTTACAATTTTTAAAATATGGCTAGTTACAGTTATTTTTTAGCAAAAATATAACTATTTAAGGTAACTAGTTACTTTTAACTAGTTCCTTTAACAACACTATTGTTAACATCAAAACTCTATATAAGATATTTTAACTATATTACATAATTATTTAACAAATTTATTTTAACATTTAAAAATGCATATTATTTTTAATTAATTTATATTTAATATATTTATGTTATTAAGCATAATCATATTTAATTATATAAATTATTGAAATTTTATCTAGAATATGTGGTTGATTAGTATAAATTTCGCAATTATTTAAAGAGACCCATTCTAAAGACAACAATATGGCCAACTTTAATAAATTTATACTATATAGTTCGGGCACTACCTTAAATAGTTGGTCAGGAGTTGCCTTCCTAATTAGTAAGAGAGTGCATAAATTTGTAGACAAATTTGTCCCCATTTCCGAAAGGTGTTGCCTGTTGTATTTAAATACCTATTTTAAGCGAACGATCCTAATTAACGTTTATGCCCCCCCCCAACAGAGGTGAGAGGCTCTCCTTTTTAGACCATCTTGAAAACATTGTATGCTCTCTTCCTAAGAGCCGCAACTGGATAATTTTGGGAGACTTGAATATCAGGATTGGGAAGGAGGAGTTTTACATACATGATGGAGTAATTGGGAATGCGGCCATTCCCCAACCAAATCGCGAAGATAGTAGAAAGCTCTTGGAGTTGTGCAGGAGTTTTTCCCTCAAAATCGAGAATACTTTCTTCTTTCATAATGAAAGTAATACTTTAACTTATAGGAGGAACAATATTACTTCTCAAATCGACTTTTTCATTTCCAACATTCATGGTTGGTTTACTGATGTAAAAGCATTGCGGAATATAAATATTTCAGATCACAAGTTAATCAAAGCGAACCTCCTCATAAAGAATTTATGGGGAAACTCCCAACGCCTCCCCACATCTAATCAGCCCAGATTTTCTCCCTGGACAAATAATGCTACATCTAATCTGCCCAGATTTTCTCCCTGGACAACTAATGCTAAAAATTTACTACGACCTGAAGTAAAGCTGCTATTAGGCCAAAACTTAAGAGACAGGATGACAGCACGTGAAATTACATCGGAGTCTGTTTCTACGGAGGCATGTTGGTCCTCCTTTAAGAGTATTCTTTTTGGAGCCTGTAATGACCTTCCTAACATCAATGGTTCTCCCTCGAGTCATGAATGGTTATCTGATGATACAGTTCTTTTGATAGCTGAACTTAGGTCGCTTGATAGACGTGATGGTGCCCTTTGGACGACAATCCATAGACTCCTTAGGAGGGACAGAAGGATCTACATAGCAAAGAAAGCTTTCGAGATTGACAGAGACATTAGAGAAAACAGAACTTTTGATGCCTATAAAAAGCTCAAGCTTTTCTGTAGTGAAAGAGTATTCAAGCCTCTCCCATCAATCAGACTGGACAATAATAAATTGATTACCGACCCGGACGAACAGATGGCTCTATGGTTGGACCATTACATGGAAACCTTTGATTCAAGGAGACGAGTCGTATTTCCATCCTCTAGCCGTAGCGCAGTATCATCTGATGCTAACTTTTCTGTGGTGGAAATAACTAAGGCCATTAAAAAACTTAGGAACAATAAATCCCCAGGTCCAGATAACATCTTAGGAGAACATCTGAAAGCTGCCCCCTTAGAAGTTTCTCAGCTCTTGCTGGGGTTGTTCAATATGATTTGGGTTACGGGGAAGATGCCAGCCAGCGTCTACATGGCAGAAAATTTGATGGAGGCAACCCCCATCCCAAATCTACCCCTACCCCCCTAAAAAAATTTCGCGGCCTTCGGCCGCGATATTTGCCTTAATCAAGAAAATCTTATATTAAGTCACTATTTATACCCTTACAAACATTCAGACCTGCTTTGGAAAAAAAAATTTACAAACTGATAACTATTGTTACTATCCGTTTTCAATTAACTTATATTTAAGTAGGTAGTGCAATCTTTTCATAATTTGATTGATAATCAATTTATTTTCATAAAAATTAATATAATAGTATTAAATGAGATAACATATTTACATTACTATAAAAAAATATCAAAAATTTAGTAAAAAAATATAAGATGAGTAATTTTAAAGAGGTATAGCTTGATTCTATAATTACTAATACCTTTATATTAAGTAAAAAAAACAAAATGAGTAATTTTAAAGAGGTATAGCTTGATTCTATAAATACTAATGCCTTTATATTAATTAAAAACATTCATATAGATATAACTATTATATAAAAAAAATTTTTATGTAAATATAACTTTTATATAAAATATTAGAATAAAGAATATAGTATATTTTGCACAAGAATTATAAAAACATTTATGTAAATATAACTATTATATAAAATATAAAATGAATAGAGTATATTTTGCACTGGAAATATAAATTTTTTTATGTAAATATAACTTTTATATAAAATATGAGAAAAAAATGAATATAGTTGCACTGGAATTATAAAAACATCTATGTAAATATAAGTTTTATATAAAATATTAAAATAAAATGAATATAATATATTTTGCACTGGAATTATAAAAACATTTATGTAAATATAACTATTATAAAATATTTAAATAAAATGAATATAGTATTATATTATGCACCGGACTAGAATGATATAAAAAACTATTAAATTAAATTTACATTATTAAAAAGGCGTATATAATTAGCTGTGAAAAAGATATAACTTATTTTATTAATAATTTAGTTAATCTTTTAGACGTAGATGCAAATCGCGTTATAATGTCGTCTATTTTAAATCTTTCAAAAACATCAATTTCGCTGGATATTAGAAGTAAATTTTCTAAAAAGGGGTCAGAAATTTTATTCCGCATTCTAGTTTTATTTATTTTGACTTTGCTCATCACTCTTTCGGCTGAACAAGAAGTAGTTGGTAGAGTCAATAAATATTTATATAATAAATATAAATTAGAATAAGAATTTAATTTATTTAAAAGACGATATGGTAGTATAAATGAATATTTTATCCATTTTTTTGTATTAATTATGTTATCGTTATTGATATCTTCCTCGGTTTCATCGTTTACAATACCTTTAATTATATATAATTTTAAATAAAATATCAATAAATTACTTTCATCAATATATAACCCATCATTCTTTTTTATTTTCAAAAGATCCTTGCAATAAATGATTGCTTGTGAATCCAAATATAAAGATCGAAAATCATTATATTCACGAGCAATATCTTGAGCATTTAATTGGTAAGTATGACAAATTTGAGATATTTGCCACCCTTCTATTCTATCATTGGCTATAATTCCAGCTGGTGTAAAAAGAGATATTTGAGATAAAAAATTTAAACAATCATAATTAAATCTTTCATTTAAATCATTAATGATTGTATCAAGCACAGGGAAAAATATTTCCCTTTTATATCTATAATGCTAAATAATAATTTTAAATCTTTTTTTATTCAACTTGTTTTTTTTTTGTTTAACATAATTATTGAATGCTGTTTGATCAAATTTGAATATTGATTTTATATTATGCAATTCCGTTGTAACATTATTCTTTTTCAAATAACTGTTAGATAAGGAATGCAATTTTAAAAAAATATTATCCCCATTAGCTACATTTTAAAATTATTTATAGAAATCGTAACTAATTTTAACCTCTTAGTCTTTGTAATTTATTTTTTGTGTGTTGTATTAATTTAGTTACCATAGCCAAATCATTACCAACTGCCTGCATTTCAATACAAGCCTCATGTGTGCATTTCAATATTTCTTTCAAAATAAATAGACTTAATATGAAATCTTCATCCTTAATTCTTGTTAATAATCCATCGGCAATAGAAGAGGTGCTTGGGTCATTAGAATCTTTTAATTCATTTAATGATGCTATAATATGTTCATAAACATCTAAAAAAATTTCTACAGCTTTATAAGATGATGACCAATTTCTAAAAAAAGATAAGTTACATTAAAAATATTATATTTACCTTGTTGTATTTTTTATTCTTTTAAGAGATTTTTTAGACTTTGTCATTTGATATTTAACAAACACTCCTTGACGTCTTACCCCATTCATGAAATTATATAACTCATCCAATATTCCCATTACCTTTTTCATTTCTATTTTGCATCCACAAACATGAGCAACTACTAAATTGAGCCTATGTGCATGGCACCAAATATATATGGCTTTTGGAGCCTCTTTCAATATTAAAGCCTGCATTCCTTTGTATACTCCTCTCATATTCCCTGCACCATCCATACTTTGCCCAACCATATAATCAAGAGGAAGACCAAGATCTTTGAACTTAGAAAAAACATGTTTCTTTATATTTTCCCCGGTGGTTTCTGATGTTGTAAAAACATGGATGATCCTTTCTACAGGATGTGGATGCGGATCATCTTCTATATATCTTACAAGTAAAGCAATGCATTCTTTTTTAGACACATCATATGTTCCATCTAATATGATGCTATAGGCACAATTCTCTTTAATTTTTTGAATAATACATTTTATTATTTTTATCTTAATGACTTCAATAATTTTTTTCACATGGCCATATGACAATAAATTTATATAAGGTCTTGAAATTTTATCTGATTTTTTTCTCCTCAATTTTTCGTTGTTATCAATGTATGCCCGTAAAGTTGGAACCGTTTTTGCCATTAATTTTATGAGGCACATAAAATTACCTTCATTCGAATTAGTGCCCCAAAAGGCTATGTTACATTTTATAAGGTATATAATGGCATCAATAATATTATGAACTATATTACGATTTTCCATTATTATATCAAGCCTATTTGATAGAAAATGATCTTGAATACGCTTATTTGCAAGCCAAGTCATGTTGGTGTATTCACAATCCTTATGAATAGAAGATGACTCATGTCTCTCTAAGTCACGCTTAAAATTTTTCCAATTATTTACTCCAAGTTGAGTCCAAAAAGTATTGGATTTAGGGCCACCAAACATAAGACAATAAAGACAAAAGACTTTGTCTAAAGTGGTGCTATAGGATAACCAATTTCTTGGTTTGAGGGAACCATCAATATTAACCTTTTTATAATAGGATATATTCATGCTCCTATTTAAAAGTAGAAATAATGGATGCGTAAAAATTAATAAAAATTAAATTTTTTAAAAACCTTTTGTGAGTAACAGGATATTGAAATATATTTGAACATGGCTGACATGGGCCTATGGAAATTATGAAATTAATCAAGATATTTGTCATTCTAAAGAATATGAAATGAAAAGGGTCATTAGGCTCCTTTTTTTTATATAATTGAATAATATTTGGGCCTTTAATGTTTGAAATATTTTGGCTTGCATTGGGATTGATAATTGGATGAAAAAAAGATATAATTGGGGAATTTTCAATAACTTTGTGTGTTTGCTAATTATTATTAAAGAGTGTATAGTTTTATTTAAATTAAATACCTCATCATTCAAAATCAGCAGATCACTGGAACTGGGCATTGTATGAGAAGATAATATAATTTGGGAATCTTCAGTAAAAGATTTGTGCTAATTATTAAATAAAGAATAATTAAAATTTGTTTATTCATGAAAATATCTGAATATCCTCATTTATTCCCTTCAAAATTATAAAAGAAATCTTATTTAAATTAAGTACCTCATTATTCAAAATCAGCAGATCACTGGAACTGGGCATTGTATGAGAAGATAATATAATTTGGGAATCTTCAATAAAAGATTCATGCTAATTATTAAATAAAGAGTGGTTAAAATTTGTTTACTTATGAAAATCTTAATTTTAATAAAAATTTTATTCTTAATTAAGATATAGAAAAGTGGAAAATATTTCATAATTTATTCACTTCAGAATTATCAAACAAATCTTATTTAAATTAAGTACCTCATCATTCAAAATCACCAGATCACTGGAACTGGGCATTGTATGAGATAATATAATTTGGGAATCTTCAGTAAAAGATTTGTGCTACTTATTAAATAAAGAATAATTAAAATTTGTTTATTCATGAAAATATCTGAATATCCTCATTTATTCCCTTCAAAATTATAAAAGAAATCTTATTTAAATTAAGTACCTCATTATTCAAAATCAGCAGATCACTGGAACTGGGCATTGTATGAGAAGATAATATAATTTGGGAATCTTCAATAAAAGATTCATGCTAATTATTAAATAAAGAGTGGTTAAAATTTGTTTACTTATGAAAATCTTAATTTTAATAAAAATTTTATTCTTAATTAAGATATAGAAAAGTGGAAAATATTTCATAATTTATTCACTTCAGAATTATCAAACAAATCTTATTTAAATTAAGTACCTCATCATTCAAAATCACCAGATCACTGGAACTGGGCATTGTATGAGATAATATAATTTGGGAATCTTCAGTAAAAGATTTGAGCTAATTATTAAATAAAGATTAATTAAAATTTGTTCATGAAAATATCTGAATATCCTCATTTATTCCCTTCAAAATTATAAAACAAATCTTATTTAAATTAAGTACCTCATTATTCAAAATCAGCAGATCACTGGAACTGGGCATTGTATGAGATAATATAATTTGGGAATCTTCAATAAAAGATTTGTGCTAATTATTAAATAAAGAGTAGTGAAAATTTTAGGCAAATGACTTATTTTATTCTTAATTATAATATATAAATTTTTTTTTAACAAAAGTTGAAATATTTAAATATTCTTATAATTTATTTCCTTCAAAATTGATAAAGGGCATAATAAAAATGTACCTATATATTAAAAATCTTATCTTTAATAAAAATTAAAAGTATTATGCTCAAATTATAGATGAAGAATTGGTTTCTACTAATTCACAAAATTTAAGGTTATTTTTACTTATATTTATTGTCATGAATTAAAATAATATATATAAAAAATTACTTTTTGGAAGTAAGATGTTATTGATTTTTTTTGTAACTTGGTTTCAACCCCATTTGTGATATTGAATGGAATATCTTTATTTAAGGATACCCAATTATTATCCTTTTTGATAGCTATCTTTGTAAATTTGATATCAGATAACTTGACATGAGGATGTTTATGTTTATAATGGTTATTTATTTTGTCACTTCTTATTTTAGAAGTTTTACAATTAATATAGTCACATTTGACTTTATATATTGTTTTGTTACTTGGCATCTAGAATAAAAATGAAATAAATATTTAGATAATATTTTTTTACTCACTGATGGCCATCAAGAATGATGGAGAATCATAATTTTATCCTTTATTTGACGGTGGATGGCTGAATCTTAAAATTCTCCTATCTTATGAGGTGTGATTCAGAAATTAAATTTATATTTGTTTAAATGAGGGTGTAATTTTAAAATTTTCCAGTGGTTTTACAAAATATATTAAAGAAATATATATTTAGATATTTTAATATATGTGCACAATAAATTTTTATTCATTTGTATTATATTTTTAATCTAAAAAATATATTAAAATCTTTTAAAATAAATTCTTATTCATTTGTATTTGTAATTTATAATCAAAAAAATATATTCTAGACCCTTATTGTTTTTAAATTAAAATTCATAAATATACACTCTATTAACATATTTTATAAAAATAATGAAAAATTTACTGATTCAATCATCATCATATAAAGGAAATTTATTATGCACCCATCATTGAATAAAGAAGAAAATTCTGATTACCAGTCATTCATAATGGACTATCAGCTATTAACTTATATTTTTGATAATGTTTTCTTAAAAGATTCCTATTATATTATATGTAAGCTTAATGCATGGTCACAAAAAATATAATATTTTTTGTTATTTATGCCAAAACAATCATGGATCAATATTTCCTCCATTATACACTTCACAATTGATTTCTTTATTTCTTAGTGTCCAACAATTTTTAGAAATGTATGATGCTTTGAAATCATAGTTTCTTTAAATTAACAATCCTAATAAATTTTGCAAATAATTGAAAACAGGCATATTTGTGATTTGCCCATTCATTTATCTTCAAATAAAGTCTGAGAAATGATATATTTTAATCATTGAAATTAGAGACCTTCACTGGCATTGATTTCTTCATCCAGCCTAGGTCATAAGTAAAAATAATTTTCAGGCCCAGTTCATGTTTAATGGAAATCCAAACCCAAACCACATCATAGGTTTCAAAGATTATTCCCAAGCCATATCCAAAAATTTAATTTATTGTTAACAAAAATAAACAATATTTCAGTATATGGAATCACTTTGTCAATTCATTTAATTGAAATCTTTTCTTAAATCAATAATCAAATGAGAGGAATAGATTATCTGTTCATTCTCCCAAGATTTCTATAAATATTTAGAAAAAAGGCCAAATATATTATGGAAAATTTGATGTTATATAAAATTTATCTAATAATGAAATAAAAAATTTATCAATTCTTTTAACAAATTTTTTATCACACAATGGTTTTCACCTCTCACTTATAATTTTGTATATAATTTACACTTACCTCAAAGAATCATTTATCATAAATAGAAATCAATTATGGGTCCAACCTGATTGCCTCACAAAAATGTGGTAATATTTACCCCATTGAAAATGATTATTTAAAAAATTATTAGCAAAAATAATTGCCATGGTTCAAAACCCAGATAACTTATTAAGTATACATATTAAGATTAAATAAAAATAGCTTCATTCTTTATTATATTTATTTATCTATCATCAAATTAAGGAAAATGCAATTATATGCTTAAAAAATTACCTTTTTAAAATCCAAAAATGTTTCTTTATATTGTTAATTGAGTAGGATTATCTTATCATAAAAGGGATTCTTTATTCAAAAGGTCCTTATTATAAAAAAATATATATTGATAATTTAAAATTGATACTGTGAAAATCTAAATCCCATTATGTAAATGAATTTTCTAAAAATTTAAAAAAATAAATATAGTGTATAATATTTATAAATTGACAGATATCTTTTCTTTAATTGACATTTTTCAGAAAATCAACGATAATCATATCGATTATTGGATTTAAAAATATCATAATACAAGTCAAAAATTACCCTCCAAAAATCAATACCTACCCCCCAAAAACAAATGCCTACCCCCCAAAAATCAATATCTACCCCCCAAAATTAATACCTACCCCCCAAAATGCCAATATTTTTTGGAGGCATTTGTCTCCTACCCCCCCGGCCATGTAGACACTGATGCCAGCTGACTGGAATATGACAATTTTTTATAACTACCCCAAAACCCCAAATTCTGTTAAATTTAAGGATTACAGAGCTATTGCTCTCACATCCATCGTGTCTAAGGTTTTCGTGATTCTTCTAAAAACCGCATTCTTTCGACCACGCCTAATCTTCTGTCCAAGTACATCTGTGCCTATCGCCCAAACAAGAATATCAATGAACCTATATTGGCATTAAAGATATTAATACAGAAGTGTGACAAATATAAATTACCATTCTACTTTATCTTCGTCGACTTTAAGCGCGCTTTTGACAGTGTTATTCATGATTCGTGGGCAATCCTAGAAGGATGTGGCATTGACGGAAACATCATTAGGATTCTAAAGACACATTACAGTAATCTCTTCGCCTCGTTTAAAATTAATAAAGTTTCTCCCCCCTTTAGAACTAAAAAAGGAGTAAAACAAGGGTGTGTCGTCTCCCCGCTGTTGTTCAATATAGTTATGAATAAAATAATTATTGATTCGCTGGGAGCTGCAAATCTTCTGGAACTTGGACTTAATGAGCCATGGTTTTTGGAAAATAGGGTGATTTGTTATGCAGATGACTTAGTTATAATCACCAAGAGCTTGGAGGAGGCCCACAATTTAGTCTTGATACTTAATTCCTTCAGTTTAAAGGTTGGATTGGATATAAACTTCGATAAGACGGTAATTATGCCATCATCTCATGCGCCGCCCCCATTGGTTGATTGGATGGTTGGGGAAAGTTGGTCAAGGTGGTGTCCTATAAATATCTTGGGGTAAACATGGATAATAGGGGTAGCTGTCACGAAGAACTAAAAATTAGAATTCATAACGCAAGGGCTGCTTTTTACAAATATTTCAAACTGTGGAAATCCAGGGAGATATCGGTTTACACTAGGCTACGTATTTTCAATTCCACCATCATCCCAATTCTCCTTTACGGCGGTGATATATCGGAGACTACGAAAACAGAGATCAGGAGATTACAGGTGTTCGTCAACAAATATCTTAGGATAATAAATTATTTTTTACCCCAACATTATCTCTAATGTTAACCTTTGGCGGAGGTCACGTCACACTCTAGTGCAAGTGACTTTGAAAAAGAAACGTCTTACCTTTTTGCACACATTCTGCGGAATCACACAAATAATAGCCTGGTCCTGGAAGCGATAAATTGGTTATACTCATTCAACGGCAAAGTCTATGGGAAATATAAAATTTTATGGTTTTATAGGGCAGTGAAGGATATCATGGATTTAAACCTCAACACGAATCAGTTTTTAAGGTTGAATAAAGATAAGAAATCAATAAATAAACTGTTGAAGATCAAATCAAATTATTTGAATCTCTCATAAACTCCTCTCTGATACAGGTTATTTTTACTTTTGTTTTATCTTCTTTATTTTAATTTTGCTCCCTTTTCTCTCTCCTTATTCTGTATCGAACTTTTCCTTTCATCTATTATTTGCTAACAATTATCTCATCTTAAAGTTAGGTCCCCCTTTGCCTTTAAAATCTATTATGTATATACTTTTGCTCCCTTTTCTCTCTCCTTATTCTGTATCGAACTTTTCCTTTCATCTATTATTATCTATCAATTTTCTCATCTTAAAGTTAGGTCCCCCTTTGCCTTTAAAATCTATTATGTATATAAGCATCTTATGGGTGTGGGCTGTGCTTATTTTGTCCTTTCCTCATCAGCCCATAGACGTTTAAGTAATAGTCCTTGGACTATTACGCGTACAAGTACGTGCGGCTTGCCCACAAACGTGTGAAGGGCTCCTCATTTTTATCCCCTTTTTAATTTGTCCAGTCAGATGGATTATGAGGAAAACCTAACGTAGCTCTGTTGTGTCCACAACTAGAGGGCGAAAACGTTCTATATCACGTATATGTAAAGTTTTTATATAAATTCCAAACAATTTGATCTTGGCGATTTCGTGTGGGAACCCCGAAACTCAATATCATATAATGGCTGACGATTTTCAAAAAATTCCAAATAGATTCTTAACAATTCCTACTCATACTAAAGGTGATTGAAGATCAATGACTTTAAAAATATTTTCTTTATAGAACTGACGGATTTGATGTACAATTACAAAATTTTTAAACTTAACTATTCAGACTCTAATGGCAAAATTTATGGCTTAAAGATTTTTCCTTTCATTAACAAAATAAGGAGTGGATTAGCATCAAAAGAATATATTGAAACAGATGACTCAAGTTCAAGTTTTTCAGATGAAGATAGTGTAAATAAATATTTTGCACCATTATTAATGCACACCTTAATGTAAATTTGGTCTTGGGAATTTTAAAATATATTTATATTAATTTTTTTTTTAATTTTTAAGTTGAATAAAAAAATAGATTCTGCACAAATAAACAAGCTTGAGTCCAAAGATAAAAGTATAATAAATTTTTTAACATAAAAATGAAATATTTTAAAAGATTTGAATTTCAACCAAAAGAAAAACTTAATTTTTAAAACAAAATATTATTATCATATAAATTGCAATTTGGAAATAGTGAGTATTTTTCTTTAAATTTTTTTATTTTATCTATAATATAGAAAGATAAAAAGGCTGTCAAACTTAATTTATCTGAAAATGATAGATTTCAAAAAAATAATATTCCTAAAAGTGATATAAATAAATTTTCTTCTAGTTTATGTCTAGAACAAAGCAATGAGGGTTATTTCAAGAAGATTTCATACAGAACAAAAAGAATGTCAAATATCCATAATTATAAATCTACTGATTCATCAATAGAACTTTATCTGAATAAAAATCAAGAAGTCTATAAATGTTGTACATACAACAAAAAATTATTTTTTAAATTTAAATTGTTTAAGTGTTCACAATTATATAGATTGCATTATCCAAATACAGGTTAGGTTATATGAGTTATAAATATATTATATATAGGGAAGCAAATATTTATGCCAATATTAAAATGATATATTTATATTTATAAATGTGTATAACTTGGGAATTGTGAATATTTTTAATGAATGTTAATAAAAAATATTTTAAGGAGGAGTCAGTATTGACAGGTATTACCCAATAATTATTTCTTTTTAGGAAATTTTTTTTTCTTTTTAGCTTTCACCTTTTCTTGGTGATAAGCTCCTTCAATATCTCTTACCACTTTATGTTATTCATGCTCTCTCTTTTATCTAATTTATACTTCTTCATATTGGCTTAAACTTTGTGACCCCATTGAAGTTTTGACCTTCCTCTTATATGTTTGCCCATCACTTCCAAATTCTCAACCTTTATTCATATATAGTTAATAGGCCTTCTTATTGTGTGCCCATACCTACATCTGTTCACCATTATCTTAGCATAACTTCCTAGTATTCTTGTACTTTGCACCTTATATTTTCTTGATACCCTAGCAATCATCATCAACATTGTCATCTCAATAGTTTGTAGACTTCTCTCATCTGATTCTTTGGATGGCCATGTATCTGAATGGAACTGTAAATTTTTTCCTTCAATTTGTGTGGGATTCTTTTAATTTTTCCCCATTTTGTATGGGATTCTTTTGTCAAAGAGCACTTCAGATAAAGATCTTCACTTTAACCACCCCTGAATAATTTTACTCTTTCTCTATTGTGCCATTTGTTTGTATAGTAGAGCCCAAATATTTGCAGCTTTCAATTGCCGATATCACCATATATTCGGTCTATTCTCTGTTTATTTTTAGTCCATGCTTTTCAAGGATATTTATCCAATTCAATAATATTTCTTTCATCTCATCCTTGGATTCTGCAAGTATTACAATATCATCTGAAAATATCATATTCCACAGGACTGTTTGCTGTAAAGACTGTGACAATACATCTATTACTGTTATGAAGAGAAGTGGGATGAGAGCTGACCCTTGATGAACTCCCTTGGCTATTGTGAAGCCTTTTGAAATACCAGTTGTGCTATGCACCATATTCATATACTTATTATTCTTATATATTTTTTGGGAACCTTTTTTGTGGTGTAGTGCCCACCAGATAAGTTTTCTTGGGATTCTATCGAAGGCCCTTTCTAGATCGAGAAAGACCACATGTAGCTTTTTGTTCTTTTCTTTGTATTTTTCGCTCATTTGTCTAATTGCATAGATTGCTTCAGTGGTTGTTCCAGGCATAAAGCCAAACTGAGTCCCTCCTATTTCCACTATGTCTCTTAACCTTTTTATTTATAATTTATTTGTAGAGTTTATGACATTGTGACCCTGTAATTTTGACAATTGTGTGGGTCCCCTTTATTTTTGAAAATAGGAGCTAGATAGCTCTACCTCCATTTTTGAGGAATCTCTTCATTTCCAAGTATTTTATTATACAGATTTGTGAGGAAATGTATTACATCATCTAGATTGGAATATTATCAGGACCCCCAACTTTGTTGTTTTTCATATGCTTGAGGCATGTGTATTTCTTGTTCCGTTATTGGTTGAATGAGGTTTTTGGCATGGGGAGTGTTCATCTAGATGTAATATGTGGGGATTAAAGTTGAGAAGCTCCTGAAAATATTCTTTCCATCTATTCATTATTTCTTTTTCTCTAATTATTATCGATTTCCCATTTTTATTTTTGATTACTTTTGGAGCTCCGTTTATATCCCTAGCATTCTTTTCTCGTAATCTGTATATTTTATTTTGCCCATCTTTGATATATAGTTCTTCATACATATCATCATATGCCATAGCTTTGGCCCTAGCCGCCACCTTTGTAGCTATTCTCTTGGATTTTTTGTATTTTGTCTTGTCATCTGGGTTCTTAGATTTCTACCATATTTTATAAAGGGCTCTTTTTTCCTGTATAGTGGCCTGTACCTCTTCTTTCCACCACCATAGTTCTTTGTAGTGTTGTTAAAAAGCTCGTTTGATTTTTCAAAACGGCTAACTCAATATTTTAGGCAGAAAAAAAATTGCCTAAGCCTCGAGATTTTGGTAATATATGTCTAAACCTTGTTCCTTCCATGGGCAAAATCTTCAGGCTTGCGTAATATTTTTCTGGATCTAATATTGAATTAGCCGTTTTGTAGGATTTGTTACCCCCCCCCCCTTGTCATACCTAGTGTAGATTTAGCAGTGTCTATTAATCTGGATGAAAGATCTGTCCAGATTTTTTCACTGACTTGTGAGAAATCTATTGTTTTAATTTTTGCATTGATTGCAAAGGCATCTGTCATTGATTTTAATCTACCCCATTTGATGCATGTTTCTAGTTTTATCTTGTTTTGAGTGGATTTATTTGTGAGGTGTAAATCCATGACTAGTAACATGTGTTGCGCGACAATATCTTCTCCTGGGATGACTGTTGTCTATTACATCTTTAAATTTTCTTCGAGAGATAAGCATGTAATCTATCTGGGTTTTCCTTGTACCACCACTTTCATATGTTATTAAATGACTGTCCTTTTTCTTATAGTAGGTGTTAGTTAAGGCAAAGTCGACGGCTTACGCATATTTCAGTACATGCTCTCCATCGTCCTTTCTTTCTCCATATCCAAAACCACCATGATACCTTTTGTAGCTGTCTCTTGCTTTTCCCACATGCGCATTTAAGTCTCCACCTATTATGACTAGGTCATCCTTAGGGATCTCCATTACAGCTTCATCAGGGATAGTTTTAAAGTTATCTTTCTCTTCTTCTTTATAACCCGTTTGAGGAGCATATACTGAATGAATGTGTAGTATGGATTGACCAATGCAGTTTTATTTTCATTAGTCTATCAGAGATCCTGTTAACTTCGACCACTTAGGAGGTTAGATATTAACCGAGGATGATGCTGACACTGTTCCTATTACTAACAATTCCATTATAATACAATTTATACCCATCTCCAATCATTAGAGTCTTCTGACCTTTGAGAATTGGCACCCAAGTTGAACAAGAGAAAAGTTGATATAGCATGCATACGAGAGATGAAATGGAAAGGTCAGAAGACTAATGATTGGAGATGGGTATAAATTGTACTATAATGGAATTATTAGTAATAGAATGGTGTCGACATCATCCTCAGTCAAGATTCAAGATCTGTGTACCAATTTTCAAGCTTGCTTAAATATGGTAATAAGTATGTATTCATATATACATCTTTTGATCAATACATTAATCTGTTAAGAACAAAAAATGATTGCCGTTACCCTTTTTCTTTGCTTTGTCCTTTATTTTATTTTTCACAGGATAAAGGTCTACGCCCTGCTCTTCGCTTGGAGGGAAGGCCCTAGCTTTCATATTTTCGTTTGTATCCTTCATTTGTTTATTGGACAAGTATCCTCAGCACCCGCCTGTCCCCCTTTTTTAAAGACTTCATTTTATACCCAGGATATTAGGTCTCTTACCTAGTCTGCCAGACCATCTATCCCAGTATCCTCTGGAATTTTTTTTTCTTGTTCCCTAGTATTTTCTTCCTTCCTTTAATTGAATTTTGTGTCTTCTCTCGTCCTCTTAATTCCATTCTCTGTGCGTATTGTATATGTTACGGTTTTTTTCAATCACTCACCCCCCCCCCTTCATTTCACATTCATATACGTTCGTGTTCATACTTAATTATCTTGCTTAAATTACCGCTTCTGTCCAGCTGATTATCGAAACAGCTGGACAGTTAGGCCGTAACTGATCCCAACTTACTCTTATTTTGCGTTTGTTCATTATCTCATCTGGTCTTGTTCCAGTGGCTGGATGTCTAGTCGTTCTCTTAAATTTAAATCCGTTATTTAGCGGATGCCGTTTTTGTTCACTCTTCATAATTTTGTCGCCTTTTTTTCTAGTATCCATCAACACTTGAAACCAACTTCTTCTGTCTTTGCCACATTGGCCTGTTCTTCCTTCTTGGTTGCTCAACCATCTTTTCCTTTGTCTTCTCTTTGTCCTTAAAGAGGATCAAATATTGTTTAGCCAATTTTAGTTTGGTCTATTTGCTTTCTACTGGTCCGCTATTCCTTCAAGCTCAGTCACTTTTAGTTGAACGTCCAAACATGGTCTCATCATCTTGAGAAGTGGTAGCTCCTTTTAGCCAGGGATGTGAACCCTTCGACAAAAAAAATGATCCGGGTTCGGGTACAGTAATAAAATTTTAAAAAAGTCCTGGTTCAAGGAACATTTAAAAAAATGACTCAAAATAAGACTTTTTATTCATTTATTATTATACCTCAATATATACACATTCATAATTTACAAATAAAAAATTTTAAAATGAAATAATTTATATTTTAAATGTTTTATTCAATCGCACAATCTTAATATCTTGTAAAATATCATCCATTTCTACGTAAATTAGACAATATATATTTTAAAGATGAAAATCCACGTTCTACCCTTACTTATGTTGAGTGACCATACAGCGATGACGATTCTATACAAGATATATAATTCAGGAAATATTGAAGAATTTTCTTCCATTTTATAATATATGTATCCTTATTTACACTTATAACTTCTGAAAACTTTTCTATTAAAGATGTAATATGCATTTTTTGATCCTCCTTTCTATCTAATGATAATTTGATTTTTTTTTCTCTATCTAAAAGTAAAATTTCAACATCATCAATGTTGCTATCATTATTATCACTACAACCAGTAGATATTATTGTCGTAACTTCCAATATATTGTAAATAATGGAGTTTTGCGTATGCCATAAATCCTTAAGATGGACTTTAGCCACTTGTTTTTGCTCAATACTCTAAAACTTGATAGGGTCTAAATATATAGAAGCGTATACAACACTATTTTGCAAATTGTTGCTCTCGAATTTTCATGTTTTCTAATATTTCGTATAAAAAAGGACTAGTAAATCTTTCTAAATCTAATCGGCATCTAATCCATATGCCTTAAAAATCAGATAAACATAATTGTTCTAATTGTAATCTTAATGTTGGTATTCTTAAAGGAACTATTACACTAGTAAGGTCCTTTATTTGGCACCAATCATCTTCCGATAAAATGTCTTCATATACTCCTATAATAAAATCATTACAGAAATCTTTCAAACCTAATAATCGTATACAAATTGAGGATCAAC